TGACCCGAACCTTTTTTCTTTTTTATATTATCAACCATTTTTCGGATTGATACAAGTTTGATTTGCCACTTCTAAGCCATTGAATTTTTGCGTCAGGAAATAATTTGCAGTTTCTGAAAAAGAAGTTACAAGGAAAAACGCTTCTAAAACACAAAAATTTCATAAAGCGTTCCAAGGCAATCTCTTAAGATTTTTACAAGCTAGCACATTTAATTTATTTGTGGCAACTACTTTTATAAAACGGTTGTCTTTTTATATTTTATTGATCGATGAGACTATATTACATATTATGCATGCGCAATTCAAATTGAAGCTGAGATTACTTCGTTAGATAGGGTATCGCTTAACATCCACTTTTGAATATTACTATAATTTCAATAAAAAAATTTTAAGCTGGACTACAGATGAAATTTGAGCTTTAAGTAAGACAGTTATTAAATGCGTACCAAATTTTTTTTTTTTTGTAAGGTTTGATCGTTTAAGATATTTTATTCCCAGATATTTGGAAGATATTATAATGACATTCGAAACCTTCTGGTCTCTGCTACTTGTTGTGTTGGACTCAAGATGGCGATTTGATTCTGCGCTTATCAGATCTTACCATGCTGTTCTGTTGGCAAATCGGATTGATCGTCTTAACTATCTTCTTGATTGCACTTTTCATTTGGTAGAATGTGATGATGAAAATTCATGATATTGGTAAAATTATTGACGGATATAGCTCAATCATGTGAACGGTTAATGTCGATTATTGGAATACTAAAGAAGTTTTCTGTTTACTTTTGGGATCGGGATATACAAAATTGTGTAGTGTACTAGGATAAGGATTTTATTAAACTACTTTATTTTAATAAAAAAATATTACGATTCATGTTTTTGTGATAAAGATCTTTTGTGAAAGAATTTTAATTTAAAAAAAATCTGTTCTTGTCGAAAAGACGAATATTAGATAGCGTTACCAAGTCGACTTCTTTTTATTTGCAAAAATAAATATTTATATATAGCTGCAAATATTATTAATCATTAGACATTCGCATCGATAAAATCATGTCGATTATTATTATTGAGTAATATAAAACAACAATTTACATGATATGTATAAAGTTAAAATTTATTTTATTCTATTTCAAATATAACTTTAGATATAGTTTTTATTAAACTTTAGATATATTTTTTATTATTATCTTTCGAATTACAAATTAACTTGTCATAAATACGTTTAGTTAGTATATATGGTACCTGTCAGCTATTATCTAGAATTAACTAGACAATACCCAGGCCACACGACAAGGACGTCGATACCAAAAGTGGCCCAAAAAAAAGCTTCCACAACCTGGGTTTGTGAAAGAAAAAAAAAATATACCCCCAGAGAGATTTAAATTCTGCAAGGCAAAAGTTAAAAAAAACTATACTTACCTACTCTCTGGGGTGAAAGGGCCTTTCC